TACAAATGTAAAAGGGTTTTGTGGATTGTGGAGTGTGAAAAATAAACGTATATATAATGTGCTTGCAAAAATTTTTTTTTTATTTTATATTTTATATATGAGACTGGGGTTCTGTCCACTTTTCATATAATGGGTTGGGGTTTTGTCCATTGGGGTTTTTCCACTGGGGTTATGTGGATTGGGGTTTTGTCCGTGGGGGTTTTGTCAGTATACCAGGACAAATGAGCAGGACAGGAGGATGCAAGCGAGGTCAAGTCAAATCCAAAGACGTTTTACCGCTACGCAAAGTCGAAATTAGAAACACGAGTAGGAGTATCAGACCCGAGGCTTGAAGATGGTAGTTACGCAGATTTTGACCGGGACAAAGCGGAGGCGTTGAACAGTTTCATTTCCTCGGTGTTCACATGATAGGATGTGACACGGTGCTGCTATATGGTCGAAATATTGACAAAGTCCCAGGTTGTTTATCTGACTGTCTGCCTCATTTACACACGATTGCAGGGTTACTATTGTTTCTCTTACTATTGACAACACAACATACATGCGTACATCGTTTCTCACTTTTGATCTTTTTTTTATTAATTTTTGTATTTTTTATGGTTCTTTATTATTATTATTATTATTATTATTATTATTATTATTATTATTATTATTATTATTATTATTATTATTTATTTTTTAATTTTGTATTTTTATTATAAATTTTATTTACTATGAATTATTATTATTATATTATTATTATTATTATTACTATTACAGTTTCGCCCCCCAGGCCCCGATGTGGGTCACTGGGTCAGTGACCTGTGCATGGGTGGGCTAAACCCCGGAAAAAAAAATGCGTCGTAACGACAGTGCTTATGTTTACTTTCCTAAGTCACTGTACTGATCCCTCATAAAGTCTCTCGGCACAGCCTAACACTCACTATTTGGCCAAACAGTACGTATATCAGGTGAACTTATCTTTGAGACTGGAGTAGAGAGCTTGGGATGTATGATGAAAATATGTGGAGACGTAACACAAGCCTGGGTACTAATTCCTGTGGGCACTAAGGTTGCTGTGATACTGACGTAACTGAACCTCGCCACCGCCGTCTATCCCTGTCCAGAGGTTGAGAAGTTTCGAATCGGATTCAGATTCGTAGACGCTAGTTTCGAAACAGGGAAGACAAGGTTTGTTTACATAGTTATAATGTTTACCCTGTTGACAGTTAATTTAAAGGGTACCTAGAAGTTGGTAATTAAAGTAATATAAAGAGTATGCGAATCTTCTCCTTAAAGTAGGAGTGGCATTTTAATTTGTATTAATAGTATGTTCAGCAATATGATTATATAGTACTTATACCTAACAATATTACATACCCACCGCCGAACTGTCAGCAGTAATTCCGACAGGGGTGTTAAGGGGATTATATTTTACAGGCAAAAACTTTTTGGTCCATGGGTCAAGCATCCACACTGCATGCAGCTCGTGGTTCAAACGTTCAAATACCATTCTGGCATGAGTATGCTTTTGCAATATAATGAACAGATAATGGATTATCAGACAAATGTGATTAAACTTCACAAGTTCATGACCGTTGCTTGAAATACTTGTATTTGTACTGTAGTCTCATCATAATTACCACATCGAAATTATTCTATTCTGTAAATTCTCTGAAATGATTCAACTATCAGCAACCCAGAGTAGGAGTTAGGTGGCGGAGGCAGTGGGGGTGGAGGAGTCGAGGGTTCTCTTCAGTACACACCATACAAGAAACTTTATTATTTAATACCTTTAAGCAATAGCCTTATCTCTTTGCACTATAAATTGCACATTTATATTAATAATAATGTCTTTTTTCACTGTAACCTTACTGTTTGACACAACTGAATTATTTTTGTTCACATCAAGTTTGTATTACAATAAATATGTGGTGTCCACTTTCTGACTGAGCTGATTGTTATTTAATCCCCCGCAGACAATTTTATTCAGCTGGGGAAGTTCCATCTCGTAGTCAAGAGGTTAAAGAAAATTTCGCTGATTCTATAAGCCATACAGTAGATTCAAACATATCCAAAAAGAACACCTTACTTAGAACATGAATTCACCCCATTGTAATTATAGTATTTTCATCAGCTGAGGGAACTCTGTCAGTATTGTTAAAGCGTTATCTTACATTGTAATCTCACCCAAGAGATATACATTTTCCCTCCTCACCCCCAGTATCCCATCTCCACCCCACTAGCGAATGCTTTGAATTTACTCTTCAGAGTTCGGGGCTCACACCCCAGGGAGAGAGAATTGACAATGCTAAGTGGTAATTGCAAAAGTGGAGCCAACTGTAACATGATCGACACCTGATGTCACTATAAGCAACTAGTGTCATTATGAAGAGTAACATCACTTGGGGTCATGCTGAGCTCTTTTCGTCAGGATGAGTACTTATTACTCGCTTGGTGTGGAAAATGGCTATAAAATATTGCTGATGAATAAGCACTTGTGAGTTACTATTGTTGTATCTTTAAATCTTTTGGACTAATTATGACCATCTATGAGTCATTTAGCATCATTATGAACACCTGTGGAATGCCTGGCGTCATATCAACACTTATGGGATTCTGGAGTCATAATGAGCATTTGTGGGATTGGATTTTAATCCAATCCCACAAATGCTCATTAAGTAGCCTTACTATCCACAATGGATGTCATTTGTAGACACCAGTCACCGTAACGAATACGAGTGAGAGACTTAGCAGTAATGATACTGTATAAATTGTCTACATCAGGAGCATTTATCAGAGTGTGAGAAAGGCCAAGGGAGGTTCAACTTCCAGTGTCTAGGATGGGTTGCACCTTTCATAAGCTTGACTTCCTCAGTGGTACATGGTAAATGGTTTCATGGCAGATTTAGTGTCACAGGAAACTGATATTCGAGCACAGTAGTAACAGTATAAAGTTACACCTTACACTTAAATGGAGGTCACTTTAATGTTACATTTCCTTGCAGGGTTCATTATGGAAGTCTGAAACCTCAATTTTTGGTTGCCTGTGTCCGTCACTCCACACTGTGCTCCGTGACCTATACATTGTTTATATACAGTACTGCATAGTGTACAGTTGTGGAAATGTGTTCCTACACCCCCTGTAGCAACTCGTGTCTCCACATGGCAACGTCGAAGTAGTAGCATAACTATTTATGAATAAATGGATATAATTGCTGGAGTAGGTTTGTTATAGGTCATATAGGTTGGCCGTTTGGAGACACGGGTTACCACAGGGGGTGTAGGAACACATTTCCACAACTGTACCAAACATTACCTGTGATCTACTCTCCAGCCCTCACCCTGTTGGTGGCATGTACCACGGCTTGTTCCCAAGGGTGTAGATATACTGCGTAACAATTATTACCTGCGTTATTGATAATGTAAACTTTTTGTAGATTTCACAACAGGTGATTCATGCGATGACAAACCTATGTATTTTGTTTATTCACTCATTTTATTTTGTTTATCATTTCTATCACTTATCAGTTTACTAGTCGTTCTGTTCTTTGTTAAGATCTTCACTGTCCAGTGTTAGTACAGGAGGAAAACCTTAGTACCTGGAACAAACCTGCGATGTTTATTAAAGTCACACTGGAAAACACCCTTCCCACATTTGACCCAGGTCGGGGATTAAATCCAGGGCACAGTATTGAAAGGTTGTGTTTGGGGGAAATATTAAAATGTCTGTAACTGTTGATTTTATTGTATATTTTTTATTGGTATATAAAAAAAAATTATTTATGAATTATCTTAACAGTAGGTACAAAATAATTATACTGTAGAACATTAAATTGTATGTATATATCCACATTAAAATGATAACTGTCATATCATTATACAGTATCAATAATGTTGAATAACAAGTACCCAATATTGATATCTAATGCTTTATATAGTACTGCAGTAAACTCGATTTATACTCGGCAACGAACGTGTGTGTATACAGGGGGATTCGGAAACTGTATGTTACATAGTTTGAAGGGTGTAGTCCTGAGACATACATTAGGATAAATGATTCTGTGACCATGGTGTTAATACCCCATAGTTTTTGAGTTATACCACAAAATTGGGTAGGGGAGGACTGCAAGAAGTCTATGGACATAAAACACAAAACATAAAGTCCTATTTAAAGGACTGCACAGGCATCTCCCTCCGCTCATGTCGGCTAACTGCGGACAACGTAAGAACTGTTTATTCCCTTTATGTTTTGATCTGATGATAATTATTTTATTTTGTTTGTATATTCTGTATCAACAAATGTGTGTGCATTTAAACGAGTACAAGAAAATGAAGGGAATTGTGTATATCTACCCAAAGTTAAGAGTTTAGGAGATGTAAACAGAGAAACCAGATACCAGATGAACAACGATGTTATAGAGAAATCTGACTGTGAGAAAGATATAGGAGTAATGATAAGTAGGAATCTTAAGCCAAGTAAACAATGTGTATTTGCTCGAAACAAGGCTAATAAAGTATTTGGGTTCATACAAAGGAGTGTTAGTTAAAAGACTAGCTAGGTCATCCTAAACTATATCTTGCGCTTGTGAGGCCTCACTTGGATTACGCAGTTAAATTCTGGTCACCGTAATACAGAATGGATATAGAATCTATAGAAGGAATTCAGAGGAGAATGACAAGACTAATCCCGGGCATTAGGAACCTTGAGTACAGAGACAGATTAAAGCATCTGAATTTGCACTCCCTCGAGAGAAGTAGAGTGAGGGGCGATATGATAGAGGTGTATAAATGGAAGTCAGGGCTAAACAAAGGGGACATTACAAAAGTACTCAAACTATCCAACCAGGAGCGAACTCGTAACAGTGGTCTTGAATTAGACAAATTTAGATTTAGGCGCGATATAGGTAAACATTGGTTTGGAAATAGAGTAGTGGATGAGTGAAACAAGTTACCAAACATCATCATTAACTCGAATACGCTGGATAGCTTCAAACATAGGTTGGATGGATATATGAGCGATAGGGGTTGGGTGTAAATGGGACTGCCCAGTATGGGCCAATAGGCCCGCTGCAATTTTCTCCATTCTTATGTTAGGTAATTTTGTATGATATTGATCTATCTCTCTCACTTCCATTATGACGTTGTACTCCCACTTCCACTCTGAAGTGGTGACCTGGATGTAAGGAAAGGTACAGCGTCAAAGTAGAGGAGGGAGAGGTAGATGGGTGGTTACTCTAGACAGCATCACACAGTACTGTGGTCTCTAAAGTTCATTGTATTTTATTTTTGTCTGTGACTGAGGATGAGTGATGTATCTAATTTATTACAAAGACTTAGTGCAGTTTTATCAATTACAAACATTCTGGCACCATCAGCTAGAATGGAAACAAGAACATACCAGATTGTGGAATCTGTTAGTTGTAGAAACTGACCATCCTCACCATGGAAGCGGAGGTGTGATGCTTCACACCCGGGCTGAGAGTCAAACCTTCCTCAATCAGTGGAGACATTATACATTGAACTTCTTATGGTAATTTATTCACACATCCTAACCACAACAGTACAAGGGCGATAACACAAGTAAGTCTATTGTACTGTTTGATCTAAGAAATGTAAGTTAATTATAAAAATTAACTCGAGTTTCTTGAATACAGAAGAGTGCAGTATTCTTCCAGCCACGCTTTCACATGCAACAATTAAAAATAGTCTTTCCATCACTTTTTTTAACTTGGTAGTCAACTGCTTGAGCTATGCAATGCTCACGATGTTCTATGTTGTGCAGTTCTTAAAAAATACTGATCTGGTGTTCCCGTTCAACTTCAGGAATTTTTTGGAGGAAAATCTGAGTATGAAGAATGGGAGACATAATTGCATTTGTGATAAAATGTAAAGTAAAGAAAGAATTGAGAGCAGCAATTGTCTTTTTAAGTTGTTTTTTCAGTGTTGGGGAAGATGAACGCCTTTTGTAAAGAGGATTCGAAGTAAGGTGCCTGCTTCCAGTAAATGTTAAAGTCTTGATTCTGGTATTGAAGGCCCACTGTGTTAACATTGTAGTGTACCCTCCGCAGCACATTTTCTATACTCTCTTTAGAGCCGTACTCGAGCAGCTGGTCCACCAGGGTGTCCACATACAGTGACCCTGGTATTAATGATAATGTTACCAGAGATGATAACAAAAGATAATCATAACAAGTACAAGAGTAACCTATCGCTTATCAATTTAAATTTTAAATTTCTTTAAAACAAAGAGGAATTTTCATTCAGAAGTAATTGGTTAGATAGTAAGTTCAACTAATTATGATGTTAAAAAAGGAAAAAGAAAGGCAGACAGATGCAACATGAAAATGCTATTACAGCTCAATGACTCAAAAACTACTTTCCTTGCATTTATTGTTAAATAATCCACATTGAAATTCTGTACTACACTTACTTTTGAAACATGGAGTGAGTGCTACCCGGGGCCTGTGTTTTATGCTCTTTGAATGAGTAGGTACTGTACCCAGTTACATCTAAATCAAGTGAGACCTGTGTGGCTAAAATCTTTAACCTTTGTAAGCAGTGCCATGATTGAGGCTGGAACCAGGAATATTGAAACCTAAAGACAGTGCTGCAGACACTACAAAGGGACAACAACACCATTGACATTGTTTTTATGAAGGGAGACTCACCTTCCTCGCCCCTGGAGGCGTACTGGTACCACATGGTGGCGTACGAGATAAGGGTGTCGGCAAAGGTGTTCACATTGGACACATCAGTGTAGTCAGCATACTTATCCTGCCACTGTGTGCTCGCCGCTGCCCGCCACCCCACCGAGTCCGTCTGTGTTGGCAGTGCCTTCTCCCCACCAGAAGCTGAAGGTAAATTAATAAGAGGAGAAACAAAATTACTAACGTGTACATTTTTTTCCATTTTTAATAACTGGATGGCACAGGTACAGTCTCACCGAAAAGTTCGTTAACTCTCCCAGCCAGCTATTGCTGCACTGCCCGCTTCAGATGTATGAACTTGAGTCTGTTACTTCGAACCTTTAGATAATTTGTATCGGTTTCATGTTCTGGTTGGTACTGAGAGAGTTTCAAACATCTGAAGCAGGCAGTGCAGCAATAGCTGGCTGGGAGAGTTAACGAACTTTTCGGTGAGACTGTACAATCTTTTACACTTATAACAGATATCGACCATCATAGAGTAGAATATGAAACCTATAAAGCTCCATCAGGTTCACCTGTAACAACATTCAGAGGGGTGACAGGCACAGGTAGACTCCCATCACAAGTACAGTATAGAATACGAAGAATTTTGAAGTATTGTTTTGAGTAGGTGTGAATGTTGATGATCGCTATAATGAATTCTGAACAGAAAATTTGAACTTGATATCTTATAATTATGTTCTGTATATTCTTGTACTTGTACCTATATAGACATAGTGGATCATGTCTTGATGTAGCAAGTCACACATAGTAAATATTTAAAGTAAAGGTAACAAACTGAGACTACAGATATCGGTAATTATATTCACTATAGAAGTTGGAGTTACAGTATTACCATTTTAAAGCTAACCTTAGCTGCATGTAGAGGAAAACGTTCATCAATCAAGGAGCATTTATGATACAGTCCTGGTATTATGATTAAGCGTGAATTGCTACAGAATTTTTAGACACAAACACAAACGCATGATTGAACAAAAATTAGGCGGGTGGAAATCCTCGTAGATTAAACCTGATGAGAACTTAAAAATAAGGTGACTATTGTACTGTACAATAAATACCCAATCCTCAGAAATTAATATGATGTAGGAAATACAGATAGAGGAGAGAAGAGGAGGAGATGGCAAGGGAGGAGGAGAATCAGTGACTCACCAGATAGTAGGGAAGCTTAAACTTGGTGAAGTCGTCTATACAAGAGAAAACACAATGTGTCTTTGGACGTCCACTTTGAGACAACTCGGAAACACTTCTTGTATTCATGAACTTGCAAAACCAAGCACCAATACTGGGTTTTGAGGGAGGATCTTTCTGATACTGCCAGCGGTAATTGCTTTGAACAGTTGTCACTGATTTGGACTCTGCAAGCCAGACTGTGCTTTCTCCTGCATAGACGACATCACCAATTTCAAGCTTCTCCAACACCACAGTAGGCATAAATTCCATAGAACTCGTAAACCCCCCCCAAAAAAAAAAAAAAAATTGATAACCTAAGGAAAATTATGCAAAAAAAATGTATAATTCTATCGCTTTTGGTTTTGTTGTAATAAATATTTAATACCGGAAAAGGACTTTATGAACATCCTGTATGCTTTGAACAAGTCACTGACAAGACAAAAGATTATGTGGGGAGATTCAGTAAACCAACATTTAAATTCAGCAGCTAATGATATCATAAAATATTGTTCTTACTTGATGAAAACCTCTTCCGGTCTTTCTTGACAGCACAGGCTTGGATGAAGAAAAGTTTGGGTTTCTTGAAGAACCATTCAATCTCGGTGAAAGGTTCAATGAGGTCAACACGTCGGTGAATGCGGCTGTTCTTTGCCTCCAAGTAAGTCTTGTCCCCGTGACCCATGAACCACACCACCAAGCTGAGGGAGATGATGGAGGTGAGGTGAAGCTAATCTGAAGTGAGTGTAGGAGAGCATGAGCCTGGCTAACGGGATGCAGAGCAAGTGTAAATTCAGTAAAGGAAAGTGAGGTGTTAAAATGATCGACTTAAGAGATGGTGTTTGTGTTAACTCCTGTCAGTCTGTTTTGTAAATTTAAGCTTTGAGTTCAGTTTAGGTAGGTCTGGGTAGAACCTGTGACAGCATTGGGTTACTCTGATAAGTAAATGAAGTGTGAACAGCATTAGTTCAAATTATAGTTGGGATTTAAGAGGTTTAAGAATCCGTTACTGTTACGTCACTGAAACCTGCAAAATGTTGTACAGTAAATGATTGGCATCCTTAAATATCTGGTTAGTTACATAATGGTACTAAAAATAAGTTCCTACAATTCCAACATCAACATATCTGTATAAACCACACCAATACTGCCAAGCTCATCACGAACAAAGTACATTTATCAGTTTGTTAAAAAAAAAGTATTTTGTTTCCCTGAAATCATTTTATTTTATCTAAAGGACAAAATGATGGTGACCCACCTATCATAGAACTTGTTCCTCGCTGCCTTCAGTTTACTCACGATGGTCTTGATGTCTTCACTTGAGGGGTTTATTTTCACAAACACGTCATACTTAAAAACTTTTTCAAACAGCTCCCTCACCCTCATGAGATCCTTCTGCGCCCCTGCACGATTTTCTTCCATGATAAATATGAGACACAGACCCGGGGGTTGTGAAGCTACAGGATACCGGTCGAGGGTCATTAGAATACGGTCGATGTGGGGGTGAGGAGTGTCTGATTTTTCCTTAATTTGCTTCAGTTGGTGGAAGATAAAAGAAAGTTTGTGGGTGTAGAGTCTGTTCAAAATTTGCTTCTTCATCAGGTTGAGGATGAGGTAGTAAAAAGCCACATCCTTTAATCCTGCCACATTCTCAAGGGAGCGAAGGTCGATAGGCTGCGACAAGAGATCTTTAATAGTGTCGTCCCGCTCAACTGCCTTAGACTCTCGCAACACTTCGTACATTAAGAAAACCTCTCCTGGTGTAAGGGAGTCACATATCTTCATCATGATCTTGTTCTCAGCGTAAACGAAGAAAGTCTTTTTCTTGTGGCTCCCAACTGCTCTTGCGACGGGAATTTTCTTGGAGGATACTATGTTGCCGAAGTTGCTTTTAATGGTCTCAGGTGCCGAGTAGTTGAACATCTCAAAGATTTCGGTGAACTCCAGAATATCTTCTTCGTCATTATTCAGAAGGTCGCTTTCATCGGAGAAGTTGCTCTCCAATGTACTGAGGGAGTTTCTTTTGTTTAACTCCATGCTAGAGAGTTTCAGAAGTCGCAGTTGCAACTCTCGCCGCACCGGGGAGATGGACTTCTCATCCAGGGCTTTCTGTGGGCACGAGTAACATCAGTTTGATTTGATTATACAATCTGACTACTGTTGTGACTAAAAGAATGAAGAGAACAGAACATCAGTGTATTGTAGAGTGTTGGCAGGAGTATGATAGTAATAAATTTGACTTAAAATACAGTACTGTATAGGTGAATAAGTCACAAAGAGTTTAGTAAGAGAGGTCAGTCGTTTTCAGATGTATTACCCCCGATACAAGGACGTTTGCTGTGAAATGAAATATCGTATTTCCCGGCTCATAAGACGCACCCTATAATTAGCAAGGAATATTTTGGAAAAGTAATTTTTTGTGGATTTAATGGCCAGCCGTACAGTACTGGCAGGTCAAAGTCGCTGGCTATATGCTGTCATGTTTCTCACTACCGCAGCTAACTATCACTTTATGGATCTATTATCAGACATACAGTATGTGGGTATTATTAATTAAATTTTACCGTACCTAATTTAGTACAAAAGGATATAATTATATAGGTACCTGCGGTATACACTATACATATTACAAATACTTAACGGTACCGGTCCTGTTCACGAGGAACTGTCCAGCTTAGGGATTGTTTACATCTCAACTACATGTGCACAGCTGACGTATCAGGTATTGCCTACGGTACACTTGGATTAATGGTAAGCCTAGTAAGCTTCCTATTGGTTACTATCAATACACCAATAAACTACGGTAATAAATCTAGTATTGATAATACCGGGATTTGACCTTCCGGTGTTAAGACGCAGGGTGATTTTGGGGGAAACTTTTTCAAGAAAAAATGTGTTTTATGAGGCGGGAAATATGGTAAGCTTGTCCTGGGTCTTTTAGGACCAGTGTGGATACAGCACACTGTAGGCTATATGCTTTCCTTTTATATACACAGAGGTATTGTGGATAGCACTCATTCGTCCATCTCTTTCCCCAAATGTAAGGTTAGGTACAGTCGGCCACAGTGCTGTACGGTCCGAAAATGGTCTGGTAACGTTGAAACTGCGCATCCAGACGCATGATGAAATTCAGCTCCCCCACCTGTTATCTCTAACTATTTTCTATTTCCCCTTCTCTATTCTTCTATTTACTCCTCTTCCTTCCTTTACTAATCCAAACATTAGTAAAATAAAATAGGGTACGAGAAAAAGTGGGGGGAGGAGGAGGGAGCTGTACGATAACTGCAATCCCATTTGGCGACAAGTTTACTACCATCGGATACAATATATTACTTGTAATATTAACACAACAAATATATATATATATATATATATATATATATATATATATATATATATATATATATATATATATATATATATATATATATATAGGACTAAAACATAAATTACAGGTCATTTTGTAATTTTGTCTGTTCTGTTCAGGACAGTGTTACCAGATATCTTGTCTCAAACACGAACCGTAGGTGTATACTTATTCTTATGACCAACTGTACTCATTCATAAATGGATAGAGTATGATAGTTCATAATTATCTTACCTCGAATTTTTCCAATAATCTGGCGATAGAATCTGATTCTCCCTCGGAATTGAATTCTCCTGTGGTGATTGTGAAGCCGATCCCTACAGCCCCTCCATCAGTGTATGTCTTTGATGGAGTCGACACCACCACCTCTGTCTCATCCATCTGTAACAACACTTCTCCTTAAGTTACCTGGACCAGAATTCCCCAAATGGTTTCATTCATTACCCTTGTCCCCCTATGGCCTGATTTATAGATTACATAAAGTGAAGTTAAGAATAACATAGAAAACTAGATTTACAACAACCACACCCCAAGTTAACGAGTTGTATGACCCATTGACCCAGTGTCAAGGAATAGTCCGAGAAGACCGGACAACTCGTCAACTGCACTGGCTAAACCATTACCCTATAACACAATCCGCAATTTTAGAAATATCTAATTTCCCAATTACTGCTGGGTAGACAGACCACCGTAAAGGGTGAGCTATACCTGGGTATCCTTAACAGTTATACAGTATTGTACAGTTTATGCATTTATTTGCGATATATCAACATTAATTAAACATTAATTATGAGCCAATGAGCTGCAAGGGGCATTCACTTCTCATTAAAGAGATAGAGACAAAAATTACCTAAGAGCCTTTGACACCCCACACCGAAAGTGGACGACACACCTGTGGAACCTTATTGGCCTGTTAGGAGATAAGATATCGCGGGTAATGACATATGCTCAAAAATACAAGAGAACAGTTAGAGCCAACCCGGCCACAGGTCACCGGGGGAGGGGGGAGAAACCCCAGTTTCTGTTATAAATTAATTTACACTTTTATTCATCTATCTATAGTAATTTCATGAACTTTTAGGAGACTGACCTTGTTGGGGTTGACAGAGAGGAAGAGCATCTTTGGAACTTCATCATCCTTCACCTTGGAGAGGAACCCTTGGTCTATGGAGGAGGTGTAAGGTAGAGTTAAGGCACCACCAGTGAAGTAGGTTATACATTATCATATAAAAGTAATTTACACAGGGAGTAGTAGTCGTTTAGTATCAATGTCTCTCTTACTCGGTCTCTTCTCATTTTCTTATTGTGTGACGAATAGAGAGGATACAACCATTTTACGCTGTGTAGTTCTTAATAAAGGACCTTACTGCTCGCTCGCATACACACACACACACACACACACACACACACACACCTCATCTGCAAATTTGGTAAGAAGCTTCTGCACCATCCTCGACACAGGCTCCTACGTCCATCCGTGATCCCCTGTCCGCGAATAGCTGTTCGACACCTCAACCGCATCCAGCCCATACGAGCACGTACTGATCGCTTTAAGAACAGCCCAGTCCCATCCATTGTAAAAATTATCAATAATTCGTAGTCAACCAGTGCGTTCACTCCTAGTTAACCTTATTTTTTTGCACTGTTACTGTGTTGAAATGCCCTGTATTATGACCTTGTTATTATATATCATATTTGTATCACAAGGTTACTTGTACAGCATATTATTTGTCAATCAAGAGACCCATTCCCCAATTATGTAACTGTATATTTTCAGCCTTTTGGCTGCCATGCTCTTTCAATAAACCATTATTATTATTATTATTACGTACACACACACACAATAGGGACCTCACACTGCATGACTATAGGTTTTAACAAAGAGAGCTGAAATTTGATATGATTATTATTTGTGTATGCACTTAGTTTTAGCTAAGGACAGACATAGGATATGTGGCAACGCCGGATACCCCAGCTAGTATTTTATAAGCGAACATCGAAGGGGACATCTTAATTACCTCCCTTCAGAGACCGAGTTACTACTCCCGTCACTAAGAATCGAGTTCACCCACCCATCTTAGAGGTGCTGCTGAGCTGTTCCCTGGTATTACGGTCTGTTTTAGGTTGTCGCTGCGTGCTATTGACTGCTCCCTGCTGGCTGTTTTTGACTGTTCTGTGCTGTTTTTTCTCCTTACTGGCTTTTGTTCTGTGCTGTAACTAAGCTTTATCTGGCCTTTCTCCGCCACTCTTCACTGTTACTGAGCATGCCCTGTTGTTACTGGCTGTGCCAAGCTGTTCTGTGCTGCTATTAATTCTCCCATGTTGTTCTTGGCTGTTATATACTACTAGATTGTTGACTACCCCACGACACACCTATGATGATTACTGAGACACACTACACCTTGTTATCACTGAGTACTGATTACCCCACGACACACCTATGGTGTTTACTGGGACATGTACAGACACGCTGATACATAATCTTTTACCTGATAAAGTCCTAGCACCGATAACAACGTTGTTGTCTAATTGATATTCTATATATTCTTTTCGATTATAATTGCAGCACAGATATATGCTCAAGCTAAAGAAACATGAGATACAAGAGGACAAGCCAGGTTATTACAATCTGTGTACAGTAATATGAATCTATATCTATGAAATATTAAAGGCTAAGAAGGGTCAATGTCGACCACACAACTGAGGGTAAGAATGAGAGAAGGCACACTGTAGATATGACAGGTGAGGGAAACCCACACAGGTGATGTCTGGCACAGAGATGCAAGGCAGATGTATCATGGTTGAACCATCAGCCCAGACTCATGTAAAACGTGGTTCAGTCATTTTATGAGGAGTTAAACTGTAACAGTGACTCAGCCAGATGTGTTCCATGAAATTTGACACCAGACCAAGGTGGCCAGGCTGTCAACATCTTCGTGAACTTAAGACTGATAAAAAGGTTAATTTTCTGTCATATTGTAACTGAGGATGAAACTTGGATGCACCACTTCAATCTTGAACCACAGGAAAAATTTATTGCATGAATATACCCAAGCTGGTCAATCCTTAAGAAATCCAGAGGGCAGTCGTATTAAACAGGAGGGTCATGATGTTGGCGCCCGGGGATGTAGGAGTTGTTATTATGTTGGATAATTTACAATAAATCTTGACCAACGATGATGGATATTATGCAAATACTGTAATGTTGATGCTGATGTTTTGATAAAGAACTTCGCCCCAACAACTACGGTCTTTAAGCATCTATTCCAGATCCGTGAATACACTATATAATCACTAACACCAAGAAATTATAAGACATAACTCCCTAATACAAAAAATTATAATTAGCATCAACTAAAGAATAAATCAGGAGAGAAAAAGTGCCGTGTGGGTGGCGAGGTGTGTGGGTGGCGAGGTGTGTGGGTGGCGAGGTGTGTGGGTGGGGGAGTGTGTGGGTGTGTGAGGTGTGTGGGTGGCGAGTGTGGGTGGCGAGGGTGTGTGGGTGGCGAGGTGTGTGGGTGACGAGGTGTGTGGTGGTGTGGTGTGTGGGTGGTGTGGGTGAGGTGTGTGGGTGGTGGCGAGGTGTGGGTGGTGGGTGGTGGGTGGGTGACGAGGTGTGTGGGTGGCGAGGTGTGTGTGGGTGGCAGGTGTGTGGGTGGGTGACAGGTGTGTGTGGTGGGTGGGTGGTGGTGTGTGGGTGGCAGGGTGTGTGGGTGAGGTGTGTGTGGGTGACGAGGTGGTGGGTGTGTGGGTGGCAGGTGTGTGGTGTGTGCGAGGTGTGTGGGTGGCGGTGTGTGGGTGTGTGTGAGGTGGGGGTGGCAGTGTGTGTGGTGTGAGGTGTGTGGGTGGGTGTGTGGGTGTGGGTGTGTGGGTGGCAGAGGTGTGTGGGTGTGTGGGTGTGAGGTGTGTGGGTGTGAGTGTGTGGGGTGGCAGGTGTGTGGGTGTGGTGTGTGAGGGGTGTGTGGGTGGCGGGGTGTGTGGGTGGCAGGTGTGTGGGTGGCGAGGTGTGTGGGTGGCGAGGTGTGTGGGTGGCGAGGTGTGTGGGTGGCGAGGTGTGTGGGTGAGGTGTGTGGGTGACGAGGTGTGGGGTGTGGTGTGTGTGAGGTGTGTGGGTGGCGAGGTGTGTGGGTGGCGAGGTGTGTGGGTGGCGAGGTGTGTGGGTGGCGAGGTGTGTGGGTGGCGAGGTGTGTGGGTGACGAGGTGTGTGGGTGTCCAGGACGATATTCTCACTCATTTTACTGTATATGCCTCGCCAAGGTTTGTTGTTCTTGAATTCTTTTGTATTCCTACCATTTATCATATCTGTCTTTATCAATTTTCACCTTTTCTTCTGCTAAAATTTGAACTTCAAAGTAAAATATTGACTGGTTATGTTGGGACTACTCATGGCTCCAAGAAGGGATTGACTTGTTGGAGAGACGATGGTTGAGTGTAAAATATAATTCTTCTTTTCCTCTATGACTTCTCTTTTTAGGTTAGCCCAAAGCTTCTGATACACCCCTAAATTTAACATGATATCACTCAAACACGCAGATAGCAGAGTTACACAACAAGAGGTTATCATTCCCGCCACTGAGGTGATAACAGCTTACAGGTGCGTTTTTTTACACCTTATGGCCACTGGAGACAATCTGAGTTATTCTCCAACCTTACTTGCTCTTTTACACACACACACGCACACACACACACACACACCTACTGCTTGTGGCATTAAAATGAAGATAGAACCTGTAGTATTCTGAATGTGTGACAATAGAAAAATTATATATTCTGTTTTTGTCTATAACGCCAAAAGTGATATACCCAGTAGATACATGTCATGAGCTATCTTGGAACTGATATGTAATCACTGGAGCTCGTGCGTATGTGTGTGGCTTGTCCAACACAGTTTTGTTTTTACCGTGTGAAAAATAATAATGAATGTTGGTATACCTGTATATCATCCAGGAGATTGGGGAGTGAAAGTATCGGAAGCTGAAACTCTAGAATATACTCTACATTTAATTATTTCATGTACTGTGTTAGATAGAAACCTGTTGAGGTGTATGAGCTGGCACTTTGAACAGATCATTTTCACACCACAACTTAACCACATTCCCACCTAACTCCCTGAAAAATATTTAGAATATTCACTTTATAAACTGTACATTAAGTTGGTCTAGGCTCTGACTAGATATTGAAGATACTGTAAGAATAATATTATTGTACACGTTATGTTGTTATAAAGAACCAGAAACCAGACTTTCAAATGTTTATTATTATTATTACTTCTACGATATACAGTATATATATGTATATATATATATATATATATATATATATATATATATATATATATATATATATATATATATATATATATATATATATATATATATATATATATTTATTTATTTATTTATTTATTTATTTATTTATTACATTAGCTCAATAAAGCAAGCGGACTTCTACATACAATCAACACCTCAACCCGCCAGGATTCGAACCCACGCCCACGAGCCCATGACTGTGAGGTGTTGATTGTATGTAGAAGTCCGCGTGCTTATCGAGCCACAAGAGGTGTCGGTGTACTACTTTATGTCAAGGAGCACCTGACAGCAACTATTATTGATGAGCTAAACAGAATAGGTTCATCAAAATCTATGTGGTGTGATCTGATAACTCAAAACACAAGAAAGCTAACAGTACACTGTAGGTGTGTGCTATAGGGCCGACTCAGCTTTTGAAGAGAAAATAGCAAATCTTCAGAGTCATCCAGACAGTATCCGGAGCACAAGCCCTCATCTTGGAAGATTTTAACCACGAGACAATAGACTGAGTGAATCTTACCACACAAGCCGAGGATAGTTTATGCCGTTGTGTCATTAAATAGGGTCTCGCGGATGCAGATGCACGTGCTGACGATTTGCACCCGTCCCATAATGATACATGATTTATCACCCAGTACTGGCATTGCTGACAGGGAGAGAACTAACTGGTTTTACAGCTTTTTGCACTTCACCACCATACAATATGATTAGTGTATCTGCCTCTACTTGGGAAGTTTCCAAATCGGCTACTTCTGATTCAGTCTGATTTGACGACAACCCCATTCGTGTGACTGTAGTGACGGCTGTCTTGCAACTCTCCACAAATTTTCTTGCCAGGTAAACTGTCAGGAGATATTTTGTTTTGGTGCTGCTAAGAAATATGTTAAAATCCTTAATGCGTGTATTGTCGTCCACCATATATTCAGGCAAGTATGTTGATGCCCCTTTTGAGCGGCGCTTCATTGTGCTCTCCTTCAAACACTTGACACTGGCATAACCTTGACTTTTCCTCTCAATAGAAGTGATGAAGTAATTAGCCAATACGGCGTAGTTATTTATCGCATCCTTGAAAATGACCATTTCATGGACAACTGCCTTACCATCATTGAGAATACATGTATGATCAGGGATTATGAACTGTGTTTGGGGTGAATGTAGATTTCCATTTAGGTAATGAAGCATCCGGAATGAAATTGAAAAAAACAAAAGCAAATTCACATTAATGGACAAAATCCCAAATTTCTATTTCTCCGATTGCAAAAATTTAAGGTGGCTGCCAATGATCCAAGATGGCTTCCAAAAAAAATGCAAAATGACTTTTGTAAGCTTCACGTAAAATGCAATAAAAAAGTACATTGGCAAAAATCTATATAAAATTCCTAGCATATGACACAAGAACATATACCAGGAGAAGAATTCCTTAATCTCATTCAGGACTCATTCCTCCCACAACACTTGACGGAACCCACGTGTGTAGGAGGAATATATACATCGGATAACAAAGAGAAGAGGTAATACGACCAGGTGGATGAATCACAGATCTAGGGAAGCCTGCAAGAGGAAATACCAGATATGGAAGAAATACCGGAGCACAGGGCATCATGCAGATTATGTAGTATACAAAAGAACCCTAAATGTGGCCAATCAGGAAATTAGCTCAACCAAACGCCACTTCGAGATGAAACTAACCCAAAATATTAAGAAACACCCTAAGACCTTTTATGCATATACCAGGAGTAAAATAAAACCAAGTATACCGTTGGCCCTCTAAAGGATGAAAACAACGTGGCTCTGAAGGATGACATATATTATGAGAGATACAACTCCCTGGTGTGGGGGTGTTCGTCTCCTGCGAACTTAAAGCATCAATGATATTTAGGGGCTTCAATTGCCGTGGTATTTAAGAAGGGTTTATTGTCTTAGTTTCTAAATCACCAACAACATTATACTGAAGCTCGAAATTCTCTCCGTGTGACCTGACATATAACACCGTGAACAGTTGATCCAGAAACAAGTACTATAGAAGCGTATTGCGTAGTGTACATGGTTGGTGTTGACTGCAGCTGGTGAATATTGAACAGCAGATAAGATAATGA